ACCCAGCTGGGTTGCTATGGCAATCCATTTCTCTGTCCCTAAGTCAGGCTTCTTGGTCTTGTGCTCCAAGTTGGCTGCTGGAAACTGCTATCCAGGCAAAAACTGGGAATGAGGAATCTAGGCCGGAATGAAAGATCCAGGCAGGCATCTAGCAGTCTAGTCCACACCACTCCCTCCAAACACCCCCAAACAAAGTTGTCTACATTCAGGGTTCTGTCCCAGATGCGATATTTCCACAGAGAGGAAATAGATTATATATATAAAGACTTTCCCTTATTATAGATTATCTATCTGAAGTTAAATTTAGAATTAAGCATGTGTTTATAATATGTGTTCATATATAATATTTTCTTTTTATTTCGTAGGCAGAATTAGTCGGATCTTTGGGTGGAGTCTTTCACTTTCACTCCTTGTCCGAGATTGGGCTGCTTGTCATTGATCAAGGCAAGGTATGTAACCCTGCACTGGGAAGAACTACTTAAAGGACTTTGCCCAAAGCCAGGTTTCTGTTAAAACTCACGTACTTAGTTTTTCATATCTGAAATCCATCTAGTGTTTCTTTCACCTGTCCATCCATGTATTCATCCACTTAACGGTTTATGCATCCATCCACCCATCCATCTACCCACCTACTCATATATCCAAACATCCAGCCATCCACCCACCCATCCACCCACCCATTCTACCACCTACCCACCCAGCCCTTCCTTCCTCCATTCATCTGTCCATCAGTCATGCATTCAGCAATATTTATGTCATGTCCACTAGTAGCTAAACACTGTGCTGAGCACCTGGGATAAAATATAAATCTGATGTGTGTATAGCTGATGGTGCACAAAATCCTTTTAAACCCCTTGTGTCAAACATTTTTTCACAATTCTTTTAACGTGTATTCAAGAAAATAGTACACGAAACCTGTGATTTCACAGATACCAGGTAGGATGAGACTAAGTTGAGAAGATGATTCCGTCAATGTAAACTGAAGTTGAAGAAAACATATTAAATCAGAAGAAGATTAAGTACAGTCAGTACCCAGGCATTGCAAAAATTGTGAAAAGGGTGTGCAGGTCTGAAGTCTAGGGGCGCTCCATTCTGATAGGAGAGACTGGCATAAATAAATAAAACAGTGATTATGAAATGATGGTCCCCATAATAGTTGCCAAGGTAAAGCACAAGGGTTTCCCACAGGGAGGAGCCATCGTGGTGGTTTGGAGGCGTCAGGGAAGACTTGGTGGAGGGAGATTCTCCGAGAGGTCTTGCAGGTTGAGTAGGAGATCTCAAGGGGGGCCATCTGGGAGAGGGATTAACCTGGAAGATCTTGAAGACTCAAAAGAGCTCCCACTCACACACGTTTGAGGGGCCACTGAGCCCCACTAAAACCGGGAGGGAGAAGAAAGTGACAGATATCCACTGTGCCTCTGCTTTTCTCCCCCACCACGTCCCGCTTTGTCCTTTGTAGGCATCATCACACTTCATTTGGCTTGTGTTTCTGGTTCCTGCCTCCCTCAACCACTGGTCTCCAGGCTCAGAGCCCCTACGACAGGGACCAGGAGGCAGGAAGGCTGGACTCGACCTCGTCCACCTCACTTCCCCAGAGGTCACGCTGTGATCACACGGTTGACCAGCCCCCATCCTGAGTACCCCCTTAGCATAAACTGTCAGGGCCCACCAGGAACATCAAAGACACTCCTGCCACTATGGAAATTCTGAGAGTTTAGAAGCTGAGGAGTCCAGCTCCTAGTTAAAAACCCATGTGTGATTTTTTGGTGATTCCAAAGGCTTTATCCAGCAGGCCCCCCAGGGGCAGCTGCCTTCCCCATGCCAGATTTGGTGCCTTGCCAGTGCCCTGTAGTCTCTGGAAGGAGCTGAGGTCGAGGGCTCGGATCCTCCTGGCTGGTCATTGTCCTTGCAGATTGGCACTCCTGGCCAAGGGATCTTCATTTCCATGTCTCTTTATCTGTGGTCTTCAGCTAAAGTCTCCTTATGGGGGCAGGAGACGGAAACCTTAAAGACCCTTTTCTCTATTCTTGCTCAGTACCCAGTTTTTTTTCCCATTTCTAGCCCTCTTTCCCCTTCCCTGGGTCCATAAAACTGCAGGAGCCGTTTGTTTGGAGCTGCCTCCACGGTGAGATGAATGAGCCCCACTCCTGTGCTGGAGGGATGTGGGACAGGGAGGAGTTGGCACTTTCTCTGGTCTAGATCAGCATGGAAAGTGATCAAAGGCTTAGCTTGTTGCTTTTTGCTTGGCCATTTTCTTTTCTTTTTCTTTCTTTCTTTTTTTTTTTTGCCTGTATGGGGATCCAAACCCTTGATCTTGGTGTTATCAGCACCACGCTCTACCAAGTGAGCTAACCAGCCAGCCCTGCCTGGCCATTTTGATTGGCAGCTTCTAACATCTGGCAGACAGAAGCTACCTTGCAGGAACCAGGGACAAAGGCCAACCAGTTCTTTGTCACATAATGGGGATAAGCTAAGGGCTGCAGACGCACACTCGCAATCTGTCGGCATGTTCACAGTAGGGGACAGGACAAGTCCCATTCAGCTGCCTGTCTGAGGATATACGGCCTGTATTCTCTCTCACCTTTCTAGAGACCCTGTCCCAGTCTGTTTTGTGTTGCTCTAACAGAACACCTAAGGCTGGGGTAATTGATAAAACAAGTTTATTTGGCTCACAATGCTGGTGGCTGGAAAGTTCAAGATCGGGCAGCTGCTTCTAGTGAGGGCCTCAGGCTACTTCCACCCGTGGAAGAAAAGAAAAGCAGGCATGTGCAAAGAGATCACATGGCGAGGGGCGAAACAAGAGAACCAAGGAAGCCAGGCTCTTTTTTTAACGACTGCTCTCTACTTTTTCTAACGGAAATTAATCCATTCCCAAGAGAGGGAGAACTCGCCCCTGCAGGAGGGCATTTATCAATTCATGATGAGGCCACCCCTGTGACCCAAACACCTCCCTCAAGGCCCCACCTCCCAACACTGCCACACTGGGGATTAAATTTCAACAAGAGTTTTGCTGGGATTAGTTGCATGCAAACCATAGCAGACCCTTAGTTCTAACTTTCTCTCTGCTCCAGGAGGGGCTTAGCAAATCGGCGGGCCTGTACGCAAAAGCAGAGGTGCTGGCCAAGCGATTCCATATGGATGTCTCCCTCCTTTCCATGTGATGCATCTTCTGGGACAGGGGTGCATGTACCTCAGTGGTACTCAAAAAGCAGTGCCTGCTTTTTTTTTTTTTTTGGTGGCTGGCTGGTATGGGGATATGTGACCTTGGTGTCCCTTTTTAATTTCCTCCTTGCACAGTGCCCTGAATCCTTCCCTAATGAGCAGATAAGAGAGAACTTTGCAAACCACACAGTGCAATTAGCAAGAGCCAAGGCCTAGAAGGTTGTTAGGGAAAGGATCTGGGTGGTGTGTGTGGGTGGGTTGGAGGAGAGAGGGGGAATAGCCCAGGGAAATCAACTGGAATAATCTAGGTGCTAGAGGAGGCCAAGAGCAGGGTCCCTCCCTCTTGGCACTGCAGATCTGTGGGGCTGTCCTGGGTACTGCAGATGCTGAGCAGCGTCCCTGGCCTCCACCCCCTCAATGCCTGGAGCACCCCCAGTCGTGACAACCACAAATGTCTCCAGACATCACCCAGTATCCCCTTGGGGGGAGCAGAATCCTCCCATGTTGAGACCCACTGTGCTAGATAGTAAGTTTTGAAGAAAGTTTGAAGGATAAACCATGTTGATCCACAGTGTACTCTCACCTGTTATCACTGACGCAATGGATTCAGGAGTCTTTTTCTCCCAGGGCAAGTTCAAGTACTCAGACCACCCCCTCAACCGGAGTTTTGGGCTGCCCTTTGACTACAATGGAACCCTTGATATCCTCATGCCCCCGGGTCAGAGAGGCATTCTGATCCTCTGGTTTGAGAACAGCCTGCTTGTCTCCCATAACGCAGGTGAGCCAACGGGCCGGGGATGGGGCTGCCCCTTGGTGGTGCCCTCTGGGCAGGATGGATGCAGCCCGCCCAAGAGGAGGGGAGGGGAGGAGACAGACCCCCTGACTTGAGTGGACCATGAACCCATTCTCACTTCGCCAACCTCACTGTGTCCCCGCCTCTTCCTGCCTTGTGGGATCTTTAGGGCCAGGTAGACAGGGAGGTTCTGAAAGTCACCAGACTCTTAGGGCAGAGGGTCCAAATTGTCTGTCAGTGAACAACAGATCTTGTTTTGGGGCTTGAGGTCAGTGACTCTGTGAGGTGGGTCAGGGCCACCCACTTGAACGCTAAGCATCTGGGGTGTAGATTCTCAGCATTTCAAACAAGTAAACCTCCCCTGGGGAAGAGAAAAATTGGGAAATGGCACAGCACTTCCAGTTGGCATTGCCAAGGATTCCTCTGCCCTGCCACACTCATTTGGCTAGCAGGTGGAAAGAGAGGAACAAAAAGCAGCCCTCTAGGAAGGAGCATGCTGTCCGGGAGCCCTGGGCACACGTATGGCCACAAGAGCTCCCAAAATCTCAGCCTGCCCAGCCCCCTGTGCCAGGTGCCCAGCACCAGCCAGGCCAGCCAACCATTTCCTAAGGCACAGAGCAGTCTGGGGACATGTCTCCCAATGGAAGAAAAGGGCTCAGGGCTGGTTCACCCATTTTTGGGAGCTGTCTTAGTTCATTTTCTGTTGCTTATAACAGAACTCCTGAAACTGGGTAATTTTTAATTTTTAAAATAATTTTAATTTTATTTTTAAAAATTTATTCATTTATTTTTGGTGACTG